TGACCGAGTTTACCTTAGATGTAAAAACGTCCTCTGACAGTTTAACCTGGACATCTAAATATCTTTTGCCCCGATATCACGAGCAAACTGTGAAAGCCACTGGGGCCGACTGAGGAACAAACACATAAGCATTTAACCTGAGTAAAAAAAACATTTTGCTTCCTATTTAGGATGTTTATCTAGCAGCAATCGTACAAAAACCCCATCTGGTTTACACTAGTGGATGTATTACAACATTTTATTGTTGTCATAAAACTGTAAAGTACATTCATTTATTGTACACGAAGTGCAAAAATCTATATAATGAATTTATGATACTTTTCTAACTTTTCTCTGAACTTAATTATGTATTGTTGGGTTTTATTTGCTCAAAGGCCTGCTTTTGTTTATCGTATTTGTGCTGTATTGTTTTATATGAATTTCCCGATGTAGAGCACTTTTTTTTTTTTTTACACACAAAGTTATTATTATTTAGCACGTAGCGCATTTAGAAATTAGGACACAGCAAGCACTGATCTTGTTTGTTCTCACTGTGGAAGCGATATATCACTGCTTGGTTCCACATTACATGTAACTACAGCATTTAAAAGATTTGTGATATTAGGCAAGACTTCAAATTCAGCACAAAACCTTATACAGACTGTGAGACGTAAACAATGAGGAGGAGGAGGATGCAGACAAAGTAAGAGTGAATGTCAGACAGACAGACAGGTAGGCAGACAGACAGACAGACAGACAGAGGAGGGGGGTGTTAATGGTTCTGTCTCCTCCGTGCAGGTGAGTCTCCTGCGGGTCCTCTGTCCCGACACACTATTGTCTCCTTATCTACTTCCTCTCTGCTCCTCTGCAGACGCTGCCTGTTTAGACTGCTGCTCGCCCTCTCTCTCTCTCCCGGTCCTCCTCTCTTCTTTCATTATCACCACACCTCCGCCACAGCTGCAACTCAAAACTGTGTGCCACGAGTGCACGGAACTTAAACACCAAACCTGCTGTCGACAAGTTGAAAATGATAACGTGCAGGTCATAGTGTGCATGTGCTGCCACGAGTCTATTATTTCACCAATATTTAGCAGTTTGCTGATACTGTTGTCCTACCCATAGGATTTTACTATTTCGTGTGTTGCTTTGTAAAGCACAACGATATGAGACATTTTTGTACAGATGTTGCAAAGATCTGGTGTTGCTAGTTGTCCTAAAAAGCGACTATTCCAGCTTTATTTTTTTCCGTCCGTGCATCCGTCTATCGAAAGAAAACTGCACCGATTAGCTAAATGCTGGATTCAACACTTAATTTTAAGGAACATTGCTCTTTTTATTGTTTCATTTATTGTATGTATGTTTATGCATTTAAACTCCTAAAATATGATTTTGCATTTGGATACGTCTTAAAATTTGAGATTGAAAAGCGTCCTTTCAAAACCCAACAAAGTGAAACTCTTCTGGCAAACTTCCTCACATATTTCATGTAAACGTAACTCAACATTCTCCTTTTACCTGCTCAGATTGCAGCTCTCTCCCTGTTAGAGCGCTCTGGCTTTACATCACATCTGCAGTTTGTTCTTTTTTTTTTTTGCTTTTTCACGCCTCCTCGCTCTCTATCATCTCCTCACCTAGTCTCACATTTTTGTTCAATTTTTCTTCTGGCAACTGCCTCTGTTTTCCCTCATCTACTTCCTCCACTGGCCGTATTATCTGAAAGAGTGGATCTCTGACATGCCTCGTGTTGCAGTGTAAACAAAATAAAACTGAGAGGAGAGGTGCCGCGCTTACTCCGGTCTCTCCTGGAAGACAACATGACCCACATTTGATAAGAAAGCCAAGGATAAAACACGGCTGCTACTTTAATCCTCACTGTAAGCTGCTGGTAATGTCTGGCATGACAGACCTATGAGTGTGTGATGTTACGGTAAAATTATTCTTGACGGCATTACTGTTGTTATTATTATTTTCTACCATCACCGAAGGAGATTACCGACAAGTATGCGGTTGGATACGAAGAGTGACGCAATGTGTTTACCCACCTTGTCCCTTTGTGCGGGGACTTACCATCGTTTGTTAGAGCGTCTGGGTACATCTCCTTCAGCAGGTCGCCGAGCGTGTGCGCGTTGCCTTCAGGTGAAGTGGGGCGAAACAGTTTCTGGATGAACGGCCTGTCGCTCATTGTCTGTAATTAAGTAGAGCACAGCAAATTAACAAGTGCAGCAGTGCAGACATCCCATAAAAGAAATGTGACAATGTAATGACATTTCCTACTTGAAAGAAGAAGAGGTTTTGTAAATAAAAAAAAAAACAGAACTCTTTTGACCTGAGTGACATAGTGGCTGGCCAATCTGCAAAGTTTATTATGAAAGAAACAAGAAAGGACNTGACCGAGTTTACCTTAGATGTAAAAACGTCCTCTGACAGTTTAACCTGGACATCTAAATATCTTTTGCCCCGATATCACGAGCAAACTGTGAAAGCCACTGGGGCCGACTGAGGAACAAACACATAAGCATTTAACCTGAGTAAAAAAAACATTTTGCTTCCTATTTAGGATGTTTATCTAGCAGCAATCGTACAAAAACCCCATCTGGTTTACACTAGTGGATGTATTACAACATTTTATTGTTGTCATAAAACTGTAAAGTACATTCATTTATTGTACACGAAGTGCAAAAATCTATATAATGAATTTATGATACTTTTCTAACTTTTCTCTGAACTTAATTATGTATTGTTGGGTTTTATTTGCTCAAAGGCCTGCTTTTGTTTATCTTATTTGTGCTGTATTGTTTTATATGAATTTCCCGATGTAGAGCACTTTTTTTTACACACAAAGTTATTATTATTTAGCACGTAGCGCATTTAGAAATTAGGACACAGCAAGCACTGATCTTGTTTGTTCTCACTGTGGAAGCGATATATCACTGCTTGGTTCCACATTACATGTAACTACAGCATTTAAAAGATTTGTGATATTAGGCAAGACTTCAAATTCAGCACAAAACCTTATACAGACTGTGAGACGTAAACAATGAGGAGGAGGAGGATGCAGACAAAGTAAGAGTGAATGTCAGACAGACAGACAGGTAGGCAGACAGACAGACAGACAGACAGAGGAGGGGGGTGTTAATGGTTCTGTCTCCTCCGTGCAGGTGAGTCTCCTGCGGGTCCTCTGTCCCGACACACTATTGTCTCCTTATCTACTTCCTCTCTGCTCCTCTGCAGACGCTGCCTGTTTAGACTGCTGCTCGCCCTCTCTCTCTCTCCCGGTCCTCCTCTCTTCTTTCATTATCACCACACCTCCGCCACAGCTGCAACTCAAAACTGTGTGCCACGAGTGCACGGAACTTAAACACCAAACCTGCTGTCGACAAGTTGAAAATGATAACGTGCAGGTCATAGTGTGCATGTGCTGCCACGAGTCTATTATTTCACCAATATTTAGCAGTTTGCTGATACTGTTGTCCTACCCATAGGATTTTACTATTTCGTGTGTTGCTTTGTAAAGCACAACGATATGAGACATTTTTGTACAGATGTTGCAAAGATCTGGTGTTGCTAGTTGTCCTAAAAAGCGACTATTCCAGCTTTATTTTTTTCCGTCCGTGCATCCGTCTATCGAAAGAAAACTGCACCGATTAGCTAAATGCTGGATTCAACACTTAATTTTAAGGAACATTGCTCTTTTTATTGTTTCATTTATTGTATGTATGTTTATGCATTTAAACTCCTAAAATATGATTTTGCATTTGGATACGTCTTAAAATTTGAGATTGAAAAGCGTCCTTTCAAAACCCAACAAAGTGAAACTCTTCTGGCAAACTTCCTCACATATT